CCTCTACGGGCTGGGCAGTCCCCATCCAGGTCTGGCAGGTGCACAGCAGTTCACAGCCAGGCAGCAGCCCCCACCGCCAGACTGCTGCAGCGAGTAAAGGGTGCAGGGAACTCTCAGGGCTGCCTCGGCAGTCCAGCTGGCACAAGGGGTAGTGTCCAAGTACCAAATGGCTGGGCCCCAGAAGCTCCTGAGAGCGAGTAGCCCTGAGCTAGTTGCCAGGGCAGCTTTTTGTACTGATGGGGCCAGGATAGAGCAGCTTACTGCCAGGGACAGCACAGGTGCTGGCCCCAGGCTCTAGCTCCCCCTGGCTACAGATCCAGGAGAAGCCAGGCAGGGTTATTTTGCCCCAAGTGGCACAATTTGATCCACAACGAAGTGTATGTCCAAGCATATGCGCTGGGACACCCCATGTTCCCAGCATACCCATGGCCGCAAGATGGCAGATGAGGCTGGGTGCCCAAGTCAGCTGATGGAGATTGTGTAGATTGAGCATCAGATCCCAACATCTTTACCTACATTTATAGAGGAGCCCTTATACTTCCATAAATATTTACTATTATTTTGTAGTGAAGACAGAATACCCTCTCCAGTGTCCCTGGGAGCACTGCCAGAAGTGGTCCTTTTGTCACTGAGAGGCCCCATTCAGAATAAAATAAAATCTTGAAACATCACTGTTATTTTGGGCCACAGATTCTTGAAGGAACAGCTATCTGAAGGCATATTGACTACATAAACAGTAATACACAGTGTTTCATAGTTGCTATGTACTTTTTAGCATCCACCAAAATGTTAGGTCTCTCAGAAAATCACATGAAGATAAAGTTCTAGTCCTGAGGAGTCGGCAAGTGTTACTGAGAATACTCAAGCAGAAGAATAAAAGGAGGGATGTTTAAATGTTGCCCCTTACCTGCAGGCCATGAGAGATTGGGACCATTATATAAATAACTGACATGCCATAAGGAAAGGGGAAAAGAGATTGTCTCTTGGTGTTCCCTAGTGAATGATCTTGCTGACTGAAGGATTCAGATCCTCAAGAAAACCCTGTTGGTCCTCCTGACTTAGAAGGGAAGTTAGCTTTATGCAGAGCTACCAGTGAAACAAATACCAGTAAGGATGAAACAACAATATGAGGCTCCCTTGAGTCTAAGAAACCTCACAACAAGAAAGAAAATGTTGTGACTTTATCAATCTGATGTGTAAGATACAAATGAGAATTGCTGTGTTGTGGTTATCAAACACATGAGAACTGCAATCTCCATTACCATACAGAGGCTCTGCAATGGATACTGCAGCAAGGAACCTTTGCTGAAGTAGCCTTGATGGTAAAACTGTAAGTAAGGAGGCTAACCTAGTACACTTGGCTTTTATCATCAGTTACGCACCAATGCAATTTCTGGGTCCAGCAGAGAAGGGTATATATGCATACGGATGCCTTCCACTAGAATTCTCAGGAAAGAATCGCTCAGGTCTGAATTCTTCAGGGTCTGGGAAAACACCCGGATCTCTGTGCAGTGCATAAGAAACAATAATTGCATTTGTGCCTTTTGGTACCTTAAATCCTCCTGCAAGAAAAAGAACCAACAAGTCATGAAGTAATTGATTTTCAGCACACATACACTGGGCACACAAAATATTCTTTAATTATGAAACAACTTTCTAGACCAGATATTTTCATTACTTAATATAAGGAACATAACATAAGGCATAACAACTTACTAATATAGCAATCTTGACTCAAGGTCCGGGCAAAGAATGGCACTGAAGGGAAGAGACGAAGGGCTTCCTTAACAACACACTCAAGATATCGTAGTTTCTTTAAATCATGCACAGTGACGGGACAGTCAGAGTCACCTACAAAGAATTGTAAAAGTGGGGTGAGAAATACAACTGCCCTAAATTAAATTAAATACATTCACCTTCTAAAGAGGCTCTGAGCTCCTTTAAACTACAGCCATTAAACTTAACTGTTTGATTTATGGGGTGAAGCGTTTCTCTAAATGTTTACCATTTCAATGTTTTTAGATGTTAGGTTACAACACACCACAACGCAGGCATAAACGAGGCCTTAACCATGGATCAGGCCCACATTCTATCAGGCACAGTGCAAAAGGGCAATCCCCCTCCCCACCCCTCCAAAAAAAAAAAAAAGAAAAACCTCCCAGATATTCTCTGCCCCAAAGAACCTACTGTTTAGGTAATAGTATCTTAAATATCTCTCATGAGCAGGGATCCTGGTTTTCTATGTTTAAAAGGCACACACTCTTTGATAAAAACTGCAAATTCTCTGGTTTAAACACGCAAAATTCTATATTTTTCCATGATGAAAATGAAATGACACTATATTACACTGTTTTACTGATATATTTACAATTTTAAAGCAATTTGGAAGCCTACTATAATAAAATTAATTCTAAATACCTATTAATTTTGGCATCTGATTTTGGGTGTTTTATCATAGAAAATCAGAGCTCCCTCCCCTCACTTTGCTCACCAGGATGTGGGTCCAGCTGTGGCTGCCCCCTCCTCCCCTGCATTGTGGGGCTAAGCAGCTCTGATATGCTGGTGCCCTGCCAATGCCATTGCCTCTCACTCCCAATCCAAAGCCTCCCAGCCCTGCCAGTGCCCCTCACTCCTGACTCACTGCCCCCCACCCTAGCTCCCCGCATGGCCTGTGCTCCCACTCCCGATGTGGCCTGTGCCCCTTCCCCCCTCTGCCCAATATGTGGCCTGTGCCCCTTCCTCCTCCACACAGATGTACCTGGAGGGAGCTGTAGGAGCTGCTCTCCACTGCTGCCTTGCTGCCACATGCATGTGCACATGCACATGCATGTAGCACCTCCTACCTTGATTGCTCTCCTCCCACTCCCTGCAACCCCAAACAGCCCCTTGCAGCCTGGAACTCAGCAGAGGGGAACCCACCATTTCCTGTGTCCTTCTCCTTTAAAAGGAGAAAATCTGTGGTTTTCCCCTTTAAAAGAGAAAATACGAATTTTTCTCCACTAAGGAAGAAAACCCACATTTTTTCCCCACAGCAAGCGGAAAACCCAGATCCCTGCTCATGAGTTCCTTAGTACCCATTCCAACTTGTTCTGAAGTCTTTGTATCCACAGAACAGTGAGAGTTATATACAGTGAAAGACCAAGTTCAAACCATCACCTGATGCTGACTTGATAGCTATCTAGCTATCGCTCCATTTCCAAACCTCCCATTTTTTGGAGTAGGTCATTGAACAAGTGGGCTTCCACCATCTCCAGGTGTACCTGGATACTATCAGTTTCCTGGACCTCTGCCAGCAAGCTTTTGTCTTAGGTATAGCACTGAGACTGCACTTATGGCCTTCATTGACAATTTTTGTCTGGCGACTAACAACACAAACTGTACCTTGTTGACCTTATTAGAGATCCCAGGGGTGATGATCATAAGAAAGTAGGGCTGGAAGGGAACTCACAAGATCATGTAGTCCAGCTTACTGCTCAGGGAAGGATCATCCCCAACTAAACCACTGCAGCCAAATCTCTGTCTAACCTTCTCTTGAAAACATCCAAGGATAACGATTCCAGTTTCTCTAGGTGGCCTATTCTAGTGCTTAACCACCTTCATAGTCAGAAAGTTCTGCCTAATCTCCAACCTACATTTTCCCTGCTGAAATGTAAAGCCATTGTTCCTAGTCCTGTCCCCTACAGTGACAGAAAAAGCACATCTTGTTCCTCTCTGTAATCCCCCTTCATGTATTTGAAAACTGTTATCAAATATGCACTCAGACTTCTCTTCTTCAGATTAAATAACCCTAGCTCGTTCAGCTTTGCCCCATAAATCTTGTCTCCCAGGCCCCTAAACATTTTTTATTGCTCTGCTCTGAACTGTTTCCAAACTGTCCACACCCTTCTTGAAATGTGGGGCACAGAACTGGACACAGTTCTCCATGTTAGGACTCACCAGTGCTGAATGGAATGGAAAGATCACTTCCCTTGATTTGCAAGTGACTGTCTAGTTCGTACAATCCATTATACTCTTGGCTTTTTGTGTAACAAGAGTAAACTGTCGACTCATGTTCATTTTATGGTCCACTGTAATCTCCAGGTCCCTCTCTGTGGTACTACAGCTTAGCCCATTCCCCCATCTGTATTTCTGCATGTAATTATTCTGTGCAAGTGGAGGACTCTGTACTAGTCCTTGCTGAATCTCATATAATTGACTATGGACCATTTCTCCAGTCTATCTAGGTCATTCTGGATCCTTGACCCACTCTCTGGAGTATCTGTAGCTCCACCCAAATCGATGTCGTCTGTAAATTTGCTAAGCATGCACTCAGTCCTATCATCCAAATCTTTAATGAAGATATTATGTAATATCAGATTCAAAACAGACCCTTGGAGAACCCCACTGAATACCTCCTCCCAAATAAACATTGAGCCAATGATGACTACTCATAGAGAAGGATGATCCAACCTATCCAACTTACAGTACTTTCATCTCATTTGTATTTCATATCTAGTCCATGATGGGCGAGTGTTCATTCTACCCTCACTACCTTTACTGTGGTGTCCTCCAGGATTCCATATGGCGGTCTCTCCTGAGATTTGGAGTGAAGCCCTTAGTATGAGGAGGACACCCAGCTCTCTCTCTTTTTCTCATCTGATTCAGGCTCTGTTGTCTTGGTCCTTAACCAGTGCTTGGCTTCAGTTGGAAATGAAGCTAAATCCAAACAAGACAGAGGAGATTGTTGTTGGCAGATCTCAGGACTTGGTGGGAAAAGAATCACCTATCATCAATGGGGTTCAGCCTCCCCTTGTCACTTACATTCCTTGATGTGCTCCCAGATTCTTTGCAGCATTTAGATTTGCAAGTTGCAGCAATGGCTAGGACTCCATCTTAGCAGTTGCCATCTTTCACCAACTCTATCTGGTAAGAAGGCTGCAACCTTGTCTTTCAGGTTTGGATCTGGTCACCATCATCCATGCTTTTGTAACCCCAAGGCTAGACTATTGCAGTGCACCCTACATGGGGCTTCCCCTGAGGAATGTCCATAAGTTGCAACTGTTGCAGACTATGGTGCCCTGCCTTGACAGGGATGGGTCACCAGGAGCATGTCATTCCAGTACTGTACTCCAGAGTTTGCATTGACTTTGAATAGTTTTTCAGGCACCATTCAAGGTGCTGGTTTTTACCTGTAAGGCCCTAATTGGCCTGGACCATACATACCTAAGGGATCTCCTCCTCTTTTATGTTCCATCACAGTCCCTAAAGTCAGCCAAGAACAACCTCCTGCAAGTAGCATCTGTGTACCAAGTTCATTTAGAGAAAAAATGTGGGAGGTCATTCTTGGTAGTAACTCCTCAGTTCTGGAACTTTCTGCCCCTTCTGATCCATCAGAGCCCAAGTCTGGACCACTTCTAGAGGTTTTGTAAAACTTTTTAATTTGGACAGGCCTTCAGTCGTTGGAGTTAAGTTTTAGGACAGTGTCTGGGGATTTTGTTCCATTTCATTTTAATATTTTTATCTGTTTTTTAATGTAAGCTTCCATGAGCCATTTTTGAAAGGCAGCATATAACTCTAATAAATAAATAATCAAATAAAGTGTTTTTTTCTTTATAATGTATGATTCTCATAAGGAACATGCCTGTGTGTGACTTCTTTTAGCATCAGGATGTCGCATGCCAACAAAAACGCACAGTCCTTGACAGATAGGGTTCTAAGTCCAATGGCATGGAATCCAAGACGATTGGAGACCCTTGGTCTGCTGCAGCCTTCATCCACCTTCACAGCCGCTGAAAAGGGGGTGTCACAGAGCACTCAGGGGCTCTGTGCCTGAAGAGGGGAAAACTGTTAGAGAAGGAGCCCTAGCAGTAGATAAGGAGCGCAGCTGCGGGTTGCCGGGGCAACCAGGGAAGGTCAGCTGACCAGAGGGGGCAGGGCCTGGCCCTTATAAAGCCCAAGGAGCTGAGCCCAGGGGCAGTTTGCTGCCAGCAGCCAGAGAGGCAGGAGCTCCCGGTAGGAGGTGAGGAAAAGCCTGACTGCAGCGACAGCTTATAGCAGCTCAGAGGTTTGAGCAACGTTGTTTGAGCCAGGCGGCTTCCATTTATGTTACAGCCCAGGGGCTTGTGTTTTGTCGCTGTTTAAACCGGTGGTTTGGGTGAGGCTATTGGGGGTTGGAGGAGGCCTCATAGGGACCCACAGGGGTGTGGGCCCTAGTGCCAGTGAGGGCGCAGTATCCTCATAGGAGACCCACAGTACCGTGGGGATCCAGGCACCAGTAGGGGCGCAGCATACGGGGGGGGGATAGGCCCCAGCCCCAGAGAGGGGGCAGTATTGTTAGGAAGCCCAGCGTGGGCACAGCGAGCCCCGGAGAGGGGGCAGTATTATTAGGAAGCCCAGCGTGGGCATAGCAAGCCCCAGAGAAAGGGGGGGAGAATGGCAGCACTTTTAAGGGGTCCAAGTTGGACACGGTGAGCCTCAGACAGGGGGCAGCATTTTGAGAGGCCCAGGTGGGGGCATGGCGAGCCCCAGAGGGGTGGGGCGCGTGATTGAAACCCCAGTTTGGACACTGGGAGCCCCTGATAAGGGGCCGCGTTGCAGGGAGGCCCAAGTTGGACCCAGAACGCCCAGGAGGGGGCAGCAAAGGATAGCGACAACGGTGATTACACCTGCGAGGCTTGGGCTGCGGTATTGGGGAGGAAAGGAGCCGCAGATAGCGCCCCCTGGAAACGGGGCTAGAGAATGGCAGCCTCCTGCTAATTAATATCAACTAATTAATTAACATCATGGCATGGCAGGCGAGAAGGTGGGTGGTTGCCGCAGGAACAGGGGAGCGGGTCACAGTTTGACTAAGCTCTGGAACGGTACCTGTTACAGGGGGTTACACTTTTCTTTTTCCTGATCCGCTGTTGAGGTCTTCTTGGATCACTCTTAGTCAGGAACCTCCCCCTCAACCTTGCCATCATGGGTGACCCTACCAGGAACATGAAGCTCCCGATGCCTTGCTCTCAGAATCATTGGAACATGCAAGCCTCTCCACCACTACAAGGTGGTGATCCCTGGAGAGGTGTTTATAATGAATCCGTACTCAGAAAGGAATAGGTATACCATACACTGAACCTTGCATGCTTATACCTACGTCTCAGGGAGCGCTAAAACTTACCAAACACTTCATCCAATTCTTGGTGAACTTTCTTCTGGGCCTCAGGATGACATCCAAGTATATAAATGGCCCAGTTCATAGCAGCAGCTGTTGTGTCATGCCCCTACACACAGAGTTTTATGTTGATATTCTGTATTATCATTATGTATACATAAACAAGTATCTATACTTGCAGCTCTGAGGGGAGAGGCATAGACTAACTACAAAAGCAAAGAAGAAAAGCTAACAATATATTAATCCACCTAAAATTTGGTACCCAAAACTAACAACAGAAAATAGCCAATTACACAATAAGATGGCTAGAGGCTGACTAAGATTTTTTGAAAGTAAAATTGATCAGAACATTAAACTAGCAAAAATCCTTCCTTCATCCATCTTCAGTTATTTAATTAACCGTTTTAAATATGTTCCTCTACAGTCAATCTCTGAGGAAGAAATTGTGGACAAATTGGAAAGGTTCCAGCAGAGGGCAACAAAAATGTTGAGGGGGTTGGGGGACACGACTTATAAGGAAAGACTGAGGGAACTGATCTTATTTCATCTAGAGAAGAGCAGACTGAGGGGATGTAATAGCAGCCTTCAACTACCTGAAGCGGGGTTCAAAAGAGGATGGAGCTAGACTGTTCTCAGTGATGGCAGATGACAGAAAAAGGAGCAACAGTCTCAATTTACAACAAGGGAAGTTTAGGTTAGATATTAGGAAGAATTTTCTTATTAGGAGGGTAGTAAAACAGTGAACAGGTTACCCAGAGAGGTGGTGGAAGCTCCATGCTAGGAGGTTTTTAAGACCCGGCTAAACAAAGCTTTGGCTGGGATGATCTAGTTGGGGGTGGTCCTGCCTTGTACGGGGGGTTGGACTAGATAACCTCCTGAGGTCCCTTCCAACCCTAATTTTCTATGATTCAAAGAATCTTGTTCTTGCTGCTTTTTCTATATGTTGTGGTTAATTCTGCAGAGAAGACCTACATACCAATCTTGAAGCTTGCACCAAACCTGAAATCTACCTGGGTTACATCAGTGATATTTTCATCATTTGGACTGAACACCTGAACTCATTTACTGATTTCTACCACAAATTTAACATTGCCCCTTGATCAAACGTTCTTAGTGTTATTTCTACACTAACATCAGCTTTTTAGATACAAGAATCCACATGTGGGATGGCACCCTACAGACTATACAAATAACCCATGGACCATCGTACTTATGGCCACAAAACCAAACAATCATTCCAAACACACCAAACAAACTGTAATCTACAGTCAGGCACTCAGATACCATCACATATGCTCTAAGGAGATGACTAGTGATACCCACCTTGCCAACCCAAAATTTGCCTTTATACAACAAAGACACAGAGAATAAAACATATCTTTGAAAGAGTCATTCAGATACCCCATGGTAACTTGCTCCAATACATAAAGAAGCCCTCCTGTGACTTCACACCCCAGTTACCACCCCATACTGAAACCAATTAGAGGAATCACCTAGCAATTATAGCCTATACTCAAAAAAGATCAGACCTGGAGAGAAATACTCTAAGCCCTGCTGCTCCTGGCTTTCAAAAAGTCTCCTAACCTTGCCTAACTCATCATCAGAAAAAAACTCCTCATTGTTTAACAGATATCAAATAGGACACAGGCTTGCCTTAACAATAAATGCAAAAACTGTCAACACATCTCCATTGCTATAACAATCAATTAGCCTCCACAATGAACCCATCAGAATCCACTGATCCTACACATCTTTCCCAAAATGTGATAGCTCTGATTCAATGTATCAAATGCCATCATGGCAACTATGTACGTAAAACTAGACAAACTACTCACCCGAATAAACTCTCACAGAAAAAAAGAGAAATGCAAACACTAGTAGGAGCACATTTCTCACAAAACAACTGTTGTTTCTGACCTCATTATCCTCATGCTCAAAGGCAGTTTACAAAAAAGCTTCAAAAGGCAAGCCTGAGTATGAAAATTCTTAAGTTGGTTGGATACTAAGAACCAAGGACTGAACACTCATATTGAATTTGTGATATACTATAATCTACCTGTTTTCTGAAATTCTTTCTTCATACTGTAGGCAATAGTGACCCTCTTCCCTTTTGAAAGGTCTTGATCTCCCACCAATCAAGCTATGTTTTCTTCTGTTAATCGTTTGTCTGATACCCCTAGGAATTTCTCTGTTCTCGAGTTTCACAGCTCTCCATGTTTTTTTAATCATTGTTGTAGATGCTTTTTCCCTCAGACTCAATGAAGAATGCAATACTTTGAAAGTGTGTTTAAGTCTAATCTCAACCACATAGGTGGTCCAATAAAAGATATTACCAACAACAATACTTGTTTCTCATAAAATTAAAGGTGTTAATTTGTGCCATAAGTCAGTGTTGGAAGGGCATTTATTTATAGTTTAAGGTGTGGAATCAGAAAAAATATATGCCTTAAACTTTGACTATTTTAGTTATAAGATGACATAACCGCTTTGTGGAGAATTGCTGGCTCTGTATAGTAGAACAGATAAGAGAAAGTGTTTGTTCTTTGTAACTCCTCTGCAACTGCTTCGCTCACCGCGGCCTTGAAGATAGCAAAAAGTATGTACAACTCTGATTTGCAGGTGCAAGAAGGAGGTTTGTGAACTAACCTCGCCTCCCCCATTAGTTCCCATCCTGATTACAGCAAAGAAATAATGAAGTAATGTTATAGCCGCTTTTCATGCTAATTTCACTATATGATCACGTGAGTTGTAAGCAACTGTTAAAAAGTATATAAGCCTCCTGATTTTGCTCTTGGGGGGGGACCCCTTCCAAGTGCTTGGGAAATCCATGTCACTTTGGAATCCCCCCCTACAGCTGTAGTTTCTTTTAAATAAAAGCTTCTGCTGACCTGACCCAAAAGTATGCTGCGTGTGTTTCCACGACAATTCCTGGTGCCGTGACTCGGATCCAGAACACAGGCTGAGAAAGGAGGACCGCAGACTGCCCCCCCCGAACCCCGAGGCGCCAAACTTGAGAGGTAAGAGACCTAATTCAAAATCTCTATTGGGGTTTCGGAGGAGGACTGCCTGTAGGCTCCCAACTTGGCCGTGGTAACTGGATCTGAACCTTGTTAAAACAGGTCAGTCTGAACCTTACTGCCGGCTAAAATTTTCTGTCTGGTAAAGGATCCCATTTTGTGTCTGGTAACGTACGTTTTATTTAGGGAGAAACTGTATGAAGCACCTTCATCCTACAGCACATCGGGCTTGTCGTTAATTAACTAAGGCGGTGTGGGGGAGGAGGTCTGGCTGACTGAATGAATGTGCATGTGTGTGTATTTAGAAATATGAGCCACTGACCAGGTCTGAGACTACGGTTGGGTTCAGCCGCCCCAATTCTGCCTGACAGGGCAGTTTTGAAAGCAAGGGGGCCCAACTGGAACCTCGTGACCCAGTGGACAGGGCTTCCCAGTGATTGAATAAATGTGTGTGTGTGCATTTAGAAAAATGAGCCACTGACCAGGTCTGGGACTAAGGCTGGGTCTAGCCGCCCCGATTCTGCCTAAAAAAGGTAGCGTCGAAAGCAAGGGGGCCCAGCTGAAACCTCGTGACCCAGTGGACAGGGCGTCTGAGTGATTTTGTCTTTTCCAAACCCCTTGTCCCAGTAGCTTCTGCCGAGAGCAGGAGTGAAAGGATTCCTCTTGTGTTTCCCTTCCCATTTCCATTTTATGAGCCGGTGTCGGGTCAGAAGCCTTTTGTCTGGGCAGTGAAAAACTGCGGGGCAAGGCACTGAGCGGCCCGGACATCCTAAATAAGCCTCTCCTACGTCTCCCTGTGTGACTGAAAATGGGAACGAGTCAGTCTAAACAAGTTCCCGTCCCCCCTAAGGGGACTCCGGCGTACTTTATGTACACACACTATTCTCCCGAGGCTTGCAAGTACCTGGATAAGTGGAACTGGTATACTAGGGATGATCCTGTGAAGCATTTTCCACAAGAAGGAACATTTGATCAGGATAAAATAGTGCACTTAAGAGGGGCTTTAGAGTCCCGTGGATCCAAAACACCACAAAACCAGTGGGACGCGTTCTTTTATTGGTATGATGAAATGTCCAAAAGGCGGACAGAATCTCAAACTAGGAGCCTAAAAGACTCTCAAGAAAAATTAAAACAGCAGTTACAAGCTGTTCGGGAGAAATTGGCTGCTCCCCCAAATTACACGCCGGCCACCGCTCCGATGTATCCAGCATTGCCCGGGGCGCCCCCACCACCGGAGCCAGCAGAGGATATCCTTGACCTTTGTTCGAACCCTGCTCTCCTGGGACTCCCACATCAGCAACAACCGGTTCAACATCAGGCTGCAGCCCAGGCTAGTAACTCATTAGCTGAAGCTCCTTCAGTAAATCCATCCACGGAGCTTAATAGTCTGGACTCATCCACCATATCTGCCACTCAATCATCACCAGTGTGGCAATTTACTCCTGGGTCACAACCCACCACAGGTGTATTTAGAAGAATGGGAATAGGCATGGAAAGATCTCCCATCAATCTTAGATCCCGAGCTGCACAAGTTTACCCCCTAAGACAAATGCCAGGCATTGGCACCGATGGACAAAATATAGTAACCGTGCATGCACCCTGGACTCCAGGTGATCTCTACAATTTAACTCAAAAATTCCCCAAAATCAGGGAAGACCCAGAAAAATTTCAGGAAGAATTGCAGACTGTTATAAATTGTTATAATCCAACATGGGCTGACATTAATCAGCTCATGCGATCGATTTTGCCCAAGGAAACTATGCTACGTCTGTATGCTGCCTGTACTTGGCCAGATCAAAACCCAGGGATTGGCCAAGACTTTATTGACAAGAGAAATGCTTTGGTTCAGGCAGTTCTCACAATTTGCCCAAAAAAGGCAGACTGGACCAAAATAAATACCTGTAAACAAAACAAAAATGAACACCCCAGTGACTATTTGGAACGCCTCAAACAGGCATTTGAACGATACTCAGGAATGGATAACCCAGTCGGAAATGCTAAACAAGCAATAGTGGCAGCATTCATCCAGGGACTTAACCCTAAAATTGCTGAGAAAATTCAAACAGTAATTATTGGCTGGGAAACTAAAGAT